AGCCTAAAGATTGGTTTCAAGGGAAAACTAATTCCCAAGAGTATAAAATTCAACTATTGTAATATTCCAGTTGATTAGTTCATTCCTTCCGTCAGGCTCTGCTATAATTGCGGCCGATTTGGCCACATCGCCAAATTCTGCAAAAGTAAGGAAAGCAGATGCCTGAACTGTGGCAAGTCACCGGCCTGTTCAACGAACTCATGCCTTTCAGTCAAATGTCTAGGTTGCGGGTCTCTGGACCACAACGTAACATTTCGAGACTGTTCAAAAAGAAAGAGGAAAATTTAAAAAAAATTTTAACCATCCAGAACTTAACTTTTAGAGAATACAAAGAGAAATTCTCTAACAACCCATACAATTTACTCGAAAACTATGACGTAAACTTCCCAGCAATGAAGGACAGCAATGCTCCCAACAATGTCAGAGACCCTACTATTGATACAAATAATATTTTAATTAACAAAAATTTCAATGCAGTTTTAAAAAATAAAACGAGTATACCCAAATCCTTGCATAGAATGTCTCTCAAGACGCCCTCGACTTACAGTAACAAGTCGCAGGAGCCAAAAAACCTACCCCACCTCCTGAAAAGCATACTTTCATCAATTACCATAAATCCACTGAAATGGAGACAATTCTGGAAAAGATTTTCAAGGTTCTCTCCGTCTCTTCTCAAGAAGATATACTTAAAACCGTCGCAACAGAAATAAGTTCCCTTAAATCAAAATTTGATCTTTTAAAACAAGGTACGTCTGGGTCGGCCCTATCATATTCTAACATTTCTCATGACGTCTTTCCTACAGTATAACATACAAAGCTTCAGGCGTAATGTCCATTCTCTTGATTTTTTCATAAATTCCAACCGAACTGATTTCGCCATCTTGAGTGAAATCTTTCTGTCCGATGAAAAAATTTCCGATCTCAAAATCTCAAATTACAACTCCGCTTATAAATGTAGAAGTGACGGCTACGGAGGTGTTGCCATCCTTGCCAGGAAAGGCATATCCTTCAAACAAATCCCATTTAAATCGACTGCTGACATTGTCATTATCAAAACCTCTTGTCTAAAACCTAATATCGTCATTGCTGCTTGCTATTTCAAGCCGAACATCCCTATTCAATCTTTCCGGGATGACTTTAATCGTCTCTGTGATATGCTCGATAGTTTCCACAATGTCATAATTGCAGGAGATTTCAATGCAAGACACCCTTGCTTTGGTGACTCCGTGTCAAACAATAAAGGCAAAGCCTTGCAAGAAATGATTAAAGCTAGTAACTTCTATTGTCTGAATGATAATTCACCAACCTATTTTCACTCTACGATCAACAATTGTGGTAGCGTGTTGAATCTTACTTTCACTAACGCAACCCATCTTACATTCAAACGGGAGGTTAAAAAAGAAATTTTCCTGGGAAACAGCCACCACTTTCCTATTCTCTTTAATGCCACCTCTATTACCTCGTACAAGATAAATGACTTTATCTCGAGGAAAAAACTCCTAAATAATCCTATTCACGTATGTCTTGAGCCACGGGTCGAGTCTATCCAGTGCTCATTTCAACAAGAAATAATTAACGCCAAATCCGACATCCAAATCTCGAACTCCTACTCACCAACACCTTGGTGGAACGAGCTGCTCACTTCACAATTCCGTAGATTACAGGTTGCTAAACAAAAATTTTCCAAATACCCCAATATTTCTAATTTTGAAGATTTCAAGTGATCCCAAAAAGAATGGAAGAAATCGATTAGAAAAGCCAAAAGATGTCACCGAGCCCTTGTTGTCGAAGAGCTATGCTCAAATAGCAATACAAAGCCATTCTGGAAATTTAAAGAAAATATTTTATCAAGGCCACTATTGATGACAATGAGAATATGGCTTAGATGTTCATTTTTATTGTTGCATGATAAGCATTTTTTGAATTCTAAAAAGTTATACGATTCTACGCCAGAAACAGAAAGTAAGTGGCTCTTTATAGGCTTTTTTTAACAAGTATAACTTTGTACTTTCTTTTTAGGAAAAGCTTCAGATCGAGGTTCTGACGATATCGAGAAAGAGGACACTTACAACGTAAATGAAAGTAAGTTGTTTTTAAAATTTGTGAAGAAATAACATTTATTTATTTATTTTTCAGCTTTAATGCCATCTAATGAGGAAGATGACGATGACTTATCTGCCTCTATTAGCGCACAAGAAATTTTAGATCAAAACGAGAAGATCAATGTAATAATAATAATAATAATAACTTTCCCAATATTTCAAGCAAATAAGCAGATAGGCAAAGAGCAGTGGACAAGCCGACAAACCCACAGGTTTCCAAACAGCTAATAGCAAAGAAAGTGCTCAGTGTACACAGACCGATTAAACGCCATTGTTGGCTCTTGATGATGAATCGAAACAAACCTTTTTAAATGGTCCAACGCTGTGTCGCAAAAAGTATTTATTATCATTAAACCCAAAATTTAATTATAGGCTACCCCAACTCTGTTAAACACCCAATAAAAATTCATTACAAACCGAGACTACGACACCCGAATTAGGGGGAGTATCTTAAAAAATAAAAAAAAAATTAACATAAGCACAAATTTTTTTATTTTCACATTTTGTTTCATCTCCGTACCACTGTCAATAGAAGTATTGGGATGGCAATGCTAGTTTGTTTTTAATAACTGTGTGCTTTCACATATACAATGAAAGAAGATAACGGTTTCTTTTGCAAGACCCTCTTTAATAAGTTGCTCAATAGGAAAAACAGTGGAGTTATTCGCTGCTTTTCCTCTAAATGAATAAATTTAACCTAACAATACATTGCTACTGTTTACATGTAAACGGAAGATAGATGATGAAAAGTAAAGAATGAAAATGAAAAGCAATTATGAAACAATGATAACAGCTTTACAATAAACCTTCTTTTTGACAATTTTTTTGAGATGGAAGGTAAAGTAATAGAATAATGAGATTCGAGTAACTTGTTTTTGAAAAATATTAAAAAAATGGCAACAACGGAACTCAGATCTCTCTCAGAGAAACTTCAAAGCATCTATTAAGGCAATAAGGAAAAATTAATCTCCTGAAATAATTACTGTGGCGTTACACCATTCAGTTCTCTTGTTTACGTAATAATATGTACTTCATGCAGAGAATCCTATGTACCTTATGCCAATAAAAGGCAAATGATGTTCTTAGCATCGGACCTTCAAAATTCAATTATTTTTTTTAGAGAGAAACTTCGTTATAAAAAAGAAAAATATGGAATGGTACTCTGCTGTTGTCTACTGAGCTACACAAAATAATGATTTTTCGTTCGTAGGAAAATTTCCATTGAAAAAGTGGGCTGCAGCTTTCATTTCCTGTCACACCACCCAAAAATCATATGGATTCTACATTTCCTTGGCATTCTGCGAATTTAGACAATGATATGCTATACTGATTTACTGTTGCTCGATGTCGAATTACTTCGAGCGTATCTTGAATGTGTTACTCGTCACCAATTTTACGATCGAACGATTTTTTCTTCGGTAGTGAAAAAAATGCTGACTTTATCGACAGCTCTAAACTTTCTATATTTTGCAGCGAGTCCGCGATCAAATTTACTTGACATAAAAAGTCATAAGTCTGGCCATGGCTGAGTATTAGGAAATTGTTCCCGTTTTATCCGAAGCCTTTCGCTTATATCTTCTGAAGACATATGACGTAAGTGACCATATATGACATTGTTTCTTATGTTACGTGAATATTAAGAAAGACTAACATATCGAAGAATGAACGTGAATACTATCACGATGTTATAGACGTTTGTGTCCCTAACTCTGCCACGTATGTGATAACATGTGCTGAAACTGGAATAACACTTGATCCGATCTGAATTAAGGATTTGTGGTAGCATAAGGAATAACTGATGTATATACATTGGCATTCTAAAGTAGAGATTATGGCTAAGTCAATATTGCGGTTGCCATTTGTCAAAAAGGGACTCTAAATGAGTTCTTCAATAAAATGTGACTGACGAAAGGAAAAAAATTGCAAGTTCAGAAAATATTTCTATGTCAGCCACATGTGTAATATAGCATATAATTATTCGCTGCCCGCTTTTCTTACCGGACTACAAACAATTGAATTTGAAGTCAACTATGCCCTCAGCACAGCTCCTAATTCAACCATCTCTGTTATTGTTATGTGGAAAATTTGCAGCTATTATTAAAAATGGCCAAAGCGACGGTACTTAAGTGGACTAATTAAAAGTTTATCAACTTTGCAAGATCGATAAGCATTCCCCCGGAAAAAGGAGAAGTAAGTAAGTAAAGTAAGAATTTCTCTCCTTATTAATGTCAGGATTTAAAAATGAAATATTGGGTTAATAGCTGCAGCTTGGTATTGCATCAAATTCATTCCTCACAGTGATCTTCTCTTCAACGTTGTCGTCGCCGTCGTCATCATCATTATAAGAGGGCGCGATAATTTCATAGAATTGATGAATGATTCGTGTTGCCGAATCGAATAAATTCCTCAACCTTAGACATTTGCCCTTAACATTTTTTCGACTGCATCATAACCGGATGACATGAGGCGAGGTACAAAAAAGGTGCTCATCGCATAAACGGAAGGTAGGACGCTCGATGGGCTCTTTCTCTCGCTACGTTCAATCAGAAGTTTCATATAAAAATTGATTATTTTATCGTTAAGCCAATTGTTATCGCATAAGGTCCGTATATCAAGTCTACTTATATTCATGTGGAATTTTGACACCAAAATCTGATCTAACGGCCCAGATGTCGCGGTATTAATAAGAGAAAGGTGTTCTTCAGTCAATTCAACAAATTCTGTTTCAAAATCGCCAGTTGCGTGCAACTCGAAGTCTGCGCAGATGTTCTTTAATTTTAAAGTCCGGAGCACGACGATCATTAACTAATCCCACGACGATATTAGTTATCTGTTTAGTTTCATTGATATAATTATCTCGTCTTAATTGCCGTTTCGTTTTAAAAAGTTTGCAGCCAAATGTCGTCAAATAATGGCAAATCATTGGAATTACACGGAACAGTATCGTCCAGTTTCGCTAAGTTCAAGTCTGTTTGCTTTATTTTCTCACTGTATGCATTGTCAAGAACCAAAGAAGTCTGCTTTTCATGCTGCTTAATTTTGGCCCTCGTCGGCAAAACTTGAGGATTGTCGTCGTCTTCTTCTACAATATCGCTCTCCTCCGTGTCGTCGATAACAAAAGTGGGCAGATGGACTAAAGATTTTTTATTAGTATGGATACCATTTTGCAGGCGCAAACGCTCATTGCTTTCATTTATTCGGTCATTTCAATCTTCACCGTGGTTAAGAAAGCATCAGTCAAGATCCAAAAAAAATAAAAAATTTCAAATCACCGTGGTTAAGAAAACATCAGTCAAGACCCAAAAAAAAAAAAAAAAAAATTTCAAAAATGTTTTATCAGGTAAGATGGCTAGCCTGCCATTCCAAGGAATGATCGTAGATCTTTAGGTGTGTTAGGTGGCGGGAAGTCCACTTGTCCACTTGCGTTTTCCGGCGATATCAACAACGCTTTCATCCTATTATTTGGACTGTAACAGGTCTGCCAGCTTTTCCTTTAATAAGTAACCATATATTTCATCTATTTAATAGCGTTATAAGAACCACTGTTTTTCCAGAAAATGTTACTCCAAAAGTTATTCCAATACCTAAAGCTGGTACCTCACTCAATATGGAGAAAGTTTTGTGAAAGGAATTTTTTTTTGTCGAGTGTTAAGAAAATGATGTGAAGTAAATTACTTTAGGAAGACCAAGTAAAAACATTATATGGTAGAAGACAATTTGTGTCCGAAGTATTTACGCTTTTGCAGATAATATTCAATTGTTGTTTCATGGCCCTCAGTCAATAGATGCATTACAATTGATCGTTTATGACATTTTAGAGCGGATTGAACAATGGATGACATCAAAATATATGCTATTGAATATCTCAAAATCAAAAATTATGTAGATTTGGAACTGTGTTCAGTTTTCGTAATACCGGCTATAAGAGAGAGGGTTCAAAAAATTATCCGGCGAGAACCAAATTTTCTATCTCAATTTAGAACATCGAAATACCGTCACACAGAAAATTTTTTGAAGAAATTTTGAAAATGACAATTTTTTTCTTTTTAACAAATTTTCACAGTAAGGTAAGGTTAGGTCGACCGGAAAGATGATTCTGAGTTGAACGGCATAATTAAGGATACAACTTTCACAACTTCTTTTGTATGTCGTTCATCCGCACAAAGGTATATGTGCTTGTGCAAGAACGGATATAGGTTAAAAAGACGTCTCGTAATAAAAATAAAAAGAAGTAAGAACACTACAGTTAGGCGATTCGAGATCGCATTCTGATTAAGAATACTGCCTGCATTGTATATAACATATAACATGATCACTTTGTGTGAAATTGTATCCGCTTAATATCGGACCTCCTAGCCTTGTAGGTACTTGGAAACTAAAAAGACTACATTTTTCGATAAGGACACGTTTTGAATACACACTTCAGTAAGTTTTTTGATGATTCATGTTTATTTCACTGCTTGTTTTATTGAAGTATAAGAATTTAAAGCTTTTGTCCCTTTGTACGAAAATTTTACTCTCTTACGTTACAACCTTACGACTTTAATTTTAATATTAAAGTTTCTCTTTCTTTTGTATTGTAGTAATTCTCTCACTAACAAGAAACAACAAATTATTCGTTGTACTTTTACGTAAAGTAACATGTTATTCTGGAAATAGAAAAACGCTTATATATGAGGATTTAATTGAGAGGAAGCGAATTAGAATCTGTGGACAAATTTAAAATTTTGAATGCTATTATTGACAGGAAACTTGATTATTGACACCACATCGACGATATCTGTTCGAGAGTTTGTTTTACTTTTCGACGGCTGTACTCAATATGTAAGGTATAAAGTGGCCCAAGCCCTGATGATGTCACAGATATCTTATTGTATGAAAGTATATTTGAGTACAATAGTTCATAATATTCATAAAATTAGGCTGTTGGAGAATAAAACTGCTTTGAAAAAAAAAGAAAACCGTGTTTGACGTGAGACATCATAATTCTGCCTCTACTCAACATGAAAATCGACATTACAAACACATATCGAGGCATGTCAGTAACTTCTTAAAATGTCCTTTTGACAATTTTCTGACTATAATATATCTCTCATGCTCATCACACATGTTTTCCTCCATCTTCCAGCGTAACTTTGCGTAACATGCGTACCTTACTTCTATATCGAACAGGCACATGTTGGACATACAAAGGAGTGATACACAAAGTGCTTCTCAATCGCATTCTGTTTAAATTCGATCCCACCTTCAGCGGAGATATGACGGTGTAGATTGCCGTTTAGAATTTTACTTCTCTCGTTAAGGCTACCGTAAACGGCACTACGTTGTCTCACGAGCGTTTAGAAATTTGGAAACAGTTCTTCTTTCCCTCCAGAGTACAGATTCGTGAATGGCCACAATTAGATATACACTTAAATGATGAGGAAAACCTCTTGTTAGACAGTTGCCAGTGTAAATGGCACAATTGCACACTGAACTCTATGCAGAAAAAAGCCGTAGCAAATATACTACGAGGAG